GACCTTCACAGGCCCTGAAGCCCATGTGTGGACCCAGGTCAGAGCCCAGGTCCATGTAGAAACCCTCACATCCCTAGAAGTGAAGCAGGGCTGGGGGTCTCGGGTGGGCTGGGCCCAAGGCTGGGCTCCAACAGCCTCTCCCCACCCTGTGAGCCCACACCTGCCCCTGCCCCTGCCCCTCCCAGAGGGTGTCCGTCCAGGGAGGGTGCCCGTGGAGGGCTGCGCTTCGATGGGGACAGGCAACAAGAGTGCAGGAGGGGGATCTGTAGGTGGGAAAGACAAGTGAGATAAGTACATTTGGATAAATTATTCCTGTCGCTGGGTCCTCTTGTGCCTTTAGGTAAGGACACAAGTTCACGGGCATGTGTGTCTATATTAAAGATGAGCGCACCTTGACTGTGGGCCACAGCCTAGTGGCTCTAGGGTTACACTTCCAACTTGAAAGACACAAAATCTCGTTTGTGGAAGACTAACCTTGTCAATTAAACAAAAACACCAGGTCTACCTTTTTCTGGAAATGCTGAGGAAACCATTTCTCCATTTGGGCATGTGGCTGTCAGTGTCGGAGGGCTGCAGTTTGTCTAGGACCAACAGGAAGGCAGTGTGTCCAGATTCCCAGCTGTGTCCAGACCAGTGGTCGGCAAACCACGGCTAGCAAGCCACATTAGACTCTTTGGCCCCTTGAGTGTTCTCACGCCACTTCTTCAAAATAGACTTTCCTAGCCGAAAACCAACTTCTGCACATGGGCCACGAAGCTTCAATCGCACTGTACATAAGCGCCCGCATGTGGTATTTTGTGGAAGAGCCACACTCAAGGGGCCAAAGAGCCACACGTGGCTCGTGAGCGGCGGTTTGCCGACCACTGGTCTAGACCAAACTAGACACGGAAGATAATTAGGTCTAAACCAATGCTTTTCAACAATGGGAAAACCTTCCGTTACTTGTGTGTGTGTATGTGTTTAAATATATTTTTATTGATTTCAGAGATAGAAAAATCAATGAGAGAATCATTGATCAGCTACCTCCTGCATGGCCCCCACTGGGGATTGAGCCCACAATCTGGGCCTGTGCCCTGACCAGGAATCAAACCAGAGACCTTCTGGTTCATAGGTCAATGCTCAACTGCTGAGCCACACCAGCAATTACTTGTTTTTAATTTCAGAATGGGTTTGCAAATGCCAAAGGTTCTAGGCATATTTTGGAGTAACTTGAAGGATTAGTGTCTCCAGGAAGGCTTTGCTCCCCTGGCAGGAAGGAGGCAGGAGTTGTGGACCTGGGCAATGACATTGCTGGTGTCCATGGCAGTCCTTGTTCTCACTGTTGCAGCTTGTTCTCACTGGTTTCTCTCATGAATGAAGGCTAAGAGGTCACGGGGAGGGGAAGGATGCTGGAGCAGGGCCAGCTTGCTGTAATGTGGGCGGATAACATGAAGGCTGGTTTTATCCAATCTCTCTAAGCAGGGGAGACCTGGAGACAGGGAAAGGGATGTATGACTCCCTCAGACCTCCACTCAGTACACCAGCGCTATACCCACAAAACAAGGTGCCTCAGCACCCTAACTCAATGTCCTTGCTCCCCATGGGCCCCTCTGTGCCACCAGGAGAGGTTGCTCTGGGCTCAGACAAGACTGCATAGGCAGAGCTCTGAATGGCAGACAGCCCAGGAGGGGGGGTGTGGCTGTCACTCAACCTCTTGGAGAAACATGATTGGTCAGATGGGTAGGAGATTCCGAGGTATTTACATTCGCTGCTGTGATCTGAACATTTTGAACTAGGGCTTGCAAGATGTCTGTTTTCTCTTTGAAACTTGCTGTTTAATCAAACACTGTTTTCTGTGACACTTCCCCAGCCATTAAGGCTTATTTCTCTGCAGACTACCTTTAGCTGGAGTGACGAGAATGACCCTAACCACGTGGGTCAGAGAAAACCCAGTGGCAGGGAGGGTAGGATGGTGCCGAGCAGCTGCATTGTACGGAGGTCTGGCTCTGGCTGAAATATTTGCTTTCGATAACTCAGGGTTAACCCTATATTTGCTTCTCATCAGTCCTCTGCTATCGCGGGGGAGGGATGGTGGACACAGAGAACAAATTCCCAACCTACAGCAGCAGCTCAGGCCACATGAAATACAGGCAAGGCATTCAAACAAGTATTTAGCCAAGATGCTAAACACTGAAGCCTGCTGATCTTTTGAAATAGATTCATGTTGAAGTGCCTCAGGCAAAACTAAAGCCACTGAGGACACATTCCACATTTCCATCCAGTCTGTGTCTCCAGGAGAAATGGGTCCAGTCCTGATTGGAATCTGGTAGAAACTGAGATTTTAAGGTGGCATCCAACAGGCATATGGGTGCCAGATGGGAGTTGGGATTTCTTGGGCCATTCTCCTTTGGCATCACTCACCGCCAGCCTCACACCACCTTCACTGTTCTCCAGTCACGGTATTTAAGGGACACAGGACCCCTGCAGGTGGGTGTTTATCACTGTATGAATTGTGCATGGGGTCACTTTGCTGGCTGTCCTGGGTTGCTCCTCTCAGAGGCTGGGCGCAGGCGTAAGGATCACGAGAACATGATTAAATCAACGCTGGTTTCTGGCGATTCCCTCCATCATGTGACTCAAGTGGAAAATGGTCTGGTTCCTTTTATTCAGAACACAAGCCTTTCCTCTGGCCCTATCTAGGAGGAAAACCATGACTCATGCTCAGGACGCAGATGCCCTGCTCAGGTGGGCGCAACGAGGTGATCACTAAAGTTGAAAAGATGTGTGAAGGAGGCCTGGCTTCTCAGTGTCTCAAATGACCCAGGAGAACGTCATCAACCATTTAAATCAAGAAATTTTCCACCCTGGCTTTAGCTTGTTTTTAGATCTTTAGGTAAAACTGCTCTCCCACTACATTTTGAAAGAAAGTGTCCTTCGCTTAGAGAAGCAACATCAGCGGAAGGTTGTTACTTTGCCTAAGCATAAAAAAGATTGCATTACCCAAGGTTAACTCCATCCAAAAGGCAAACCTCCATCTCCGCCCACGGCAGCGTTGTCAATGGCTCCTAGTGAGGAACCAGGCACAGCACTAACACACAAGGACACACTCCAATTCATGGGCTGCTCCAGCCCGGAGGTAATAGATGCCTTTCCCCCTGCTTTTCAATGCAGTTTATTTGAAGCTTGTTTTAAAAAAAAAACAACCCAACACTTTGAAAGCTAGAAGACAAATGGGCAACTGCTCATGTCTCCTGGGGGAACAGAAGCTGTCCCTAATGCACTCAGTGCTGGGCATTCTCCCAACATCCCTGGTGAGGGCTTATGTAACGGGGCTGCAGCATCTGACTGCTGGGCCTCTCTGTGTCTGGGACATCAGACCTCCTGTGTCACATGCTCTGCTCACACGTGGCTGGTCCAAACTGAGCTGTGATGGAAATGAAACCCACGTAGGATTGCAGAGATTTAGCATGAAGAAAAGAATGTAAGCTATCTCATTAATATTTTTGTACTGATGACATGTTGAGCTGATGATGTTTTGGACTAGGCTGAATGAATAAAATACGTTAAAAATAATTTCATGTTTTCCTTTTTCACTTTATTGTGGCTACTAGAAAATTTAAATTCCCTATGTGGCACCTTCCATTTCTATTGGATAGTACTGGTCTTTTCTAACCTTCACGTGATTCTGCTGTTGGAAGCATGAATACAACCCTGCCAGGCGACAGTGCAGCATTTGAAGACAATCGCCTACCCACTCCATCGTTCCTTCTGATGCTGACAAGCCTCTCCTTGCAAGCACTCCTTCTATGGCACATGTGTGTTAAAAAACATTTATCAAAACTTAGAAAATGACAAAATGGTTGTAAACTTCCTGGACAAATTTTTAATAGCCTGCTGACTTTCAGAGGGAGCCTTGATTTGTGAAGGACGGGGCTGTGAACATCTGGCCCCCTATCGGTTGTGGCTCTTAGTTTAATGTGTAGAAACTCAAGTGTTCTTATAACCTTAGATGCAAAGCGAACATTCCAAGAACAGATCTCTTGAAATGAGCAAAAATAGGAATCAAATAATTGTAAGAGAGACAGTGATAAACTAGAATGTCAACAGAAAAACCAGGAGAGTGATGTTTCTAGAAACTTCCTTGGATGAAACAGTTGAAGAAATCAATTAAATATTTATTGAACAAATGCAAAATAAATGAACTGGGAGGGGTATTTTAATCTGAAAATACAATAACAACTTCAAATATTCAGAAAGCTATCACACGAGAAATGAAAAACTTGTTCAGTATTTTTCCAAAAGGCAGAACTGAACTGAGGGATAAACACAGCACCCAGCAGGCTGCAGGACAGCGGTACAAAGTGTTACTTATCTCAACAGCTTCTTCTCAATACGAGTTTCCCTCTTCTGAGAAGAAAACAGTACAACGTAACACTTCTCATGAGTTAATACTTCTCATGAGCATTTTAAGTGTCTCAAGTCCCACCTCCACTGCCAGCAATGGATGCACTCACACTGAGCAAGGACCCTAACAATCTGTTTGCTAAAGAAATGCCTCTGGCTCCTCAGCACCCTGTATCAGTGACTCCGGGAAGCGGAGGAGAAAAGAGACCATATTCTCCAAAGAGGGTGCATCGGGACCACCCCCAATTCAGACAATACCCCTGGGGACAGCTTTCCTCAAACCGGATGGGATAGCACCGGGTGCGGGTGGGACAGATGCTGCCATGCACTGTGCAGCATGAGGCAGGGGGCTGCACCTACGAGCCCCGGAAATGTAAGCTGACTGCGTCGTTCTGGCAGCCTCACCCAAACTGCCAGCTACCACCAAAGGAGAACTGTCTCACAACTATTCAGCATGATGTGTAAGGACAAATATATATAATATGCTTTATATTACATCTGTATTTTATCACATACTCAGTACGGAACGCTGAGGTGTTCGATCCATCCAATAAACTGAAAATTCAAAATTACATTTGTCAGGATACGAGACACTGGATCGTAAAGCAGATGAGACGTCAATTTTCGAGGAAAGCGACATAATCAGTGAGCCTGGCGAGCTGCTGTTCGTTGGGGATCGGCGGAACTGGGGCAGGCTCTGTGCATGCAAGAGTCACAAAGTTAGTGTCCAGAGCCACACAGCTTTGGTTCAGCAACCCCCGTCCCATATCTTTAATTTTACAATAAGAAAACTTGCCCAGATTTGCCCTGACTTTGCACATTTGAAAAACAAGCCAAAAAGTCTCAAACTTTTATGAGTTTTCCCTAACTGGGAATAAAGCCCCATTGGTTTGTTGCTACTGAAGCAAACATGCAACATCCCTGTGAAGAGAACGCAGCTCTCCTAGTTACCCACGTGACAGGTGACTCAATGGGTGAACCACTGAGTGCTTTCCAGGCGACAAACACTGCTCTGGGAGGACTTCAGTGTCGATGAACGAAAAACACAATGACCACAGGTCGGGGGTTCCACTCGGCTTTTCAGGTGGCACATGTCAGCTGGGATGCTACTGAGAGGCCCCACCACAGCTCCCTGCCCAGGGCACTAGTGCCCAAGGTGAGCTACAGAGGGGAACCCACACGTTCACTCTTACAACCAGGTGTATTATTATAAATACCAAATAAAGAATTTAATCTCTTTACAAAGTTAGAACTAAAATAAATAAATAAATACTACAAAAAAACAATTAAGAACAGTGAAATGTATTTTAAATGAACATATGAAAATACATACCTGATAAAGGAATAAATCTGTTAAAGGAAACATCCAAGGAACCTGCAACTAAATAAACAATATGTAAAGTCCACTTACAGAAGTCATTACAAAGAATTTCCATACACAACATGCATTTTTAATGCGCTATGAGTTTACAGCCACTTATTTGTCAACAGAGATACCACTACCCTCTATTTGATTCGTTTCTCTTGTCTCCAGATCGCTGGGCCTGGCTTCCCTCTGCGCTCTCGCAGGGCTGAGCAGCCTGACATCTGTGCAACACTCGACTGTGGAGCAGCAAAGTCAAACAGGAGTTCAGTGTTGAACAGATTGGGAGGGCTGTGGGGTGGGCAGTAAGGCTGGCTCTCAGCCCAGGCACTAAGGAGCCTCCTGATGAGTGAAGGAAACCAGGGGCAGGACTGGGCCTGGCCTGAGCAGAGAGGAGGCGGAGGGGCTGGGAGCTCACACTAGGACAGCACAGCCAGCCCACCTAATTTAAAGCCTTAAAAGGAAGACCAGGTAATGTAATTGTATGAAGGTGGAAGCCACGGAAAGTCTTGGATAGAAGAGTCTACGTGTCTACAGTACAAGAGGAAAGGGGAATATCTAAGAATTAAAATAACTTCCTAAGGCAACAGTTAGACAGGAAGAATGAAGTTAGAAATGGCTCCATAAATGAAAGAATGGGAGATTAAAACTTAGCAAAAGTTAAGTTGTAACAGAAATGATAAAACACCCACATAAATATTTTGTACAAGAGATACATTTTTAATAATTAAGGGAAAATTAGGTGACTATAAGATCCTTTCCACCCTACATGTCTGCCATTCTGTATTTAATGTGTGATTTATTTTCATTTTGCTGGTACAGCAGAATCTTATATCAAGTTACTCAAATGTAATATCTGAAAACTAAAGGCGTCCCAGGGAGTTCCGTGCTGCACACACGGGTGAAGAGCTCCACCTACCTGGCTTTTTGGGCATGACCATTCTTGTGGTGGAGTCAGCTTGCCATCCTTGCTCCAGTATACCTAAAAAATGTGTATTCAACACAAAAATGAATAGCCAAAACCCTCCGTTTTTCTTTTGTCAATCGCATCATTTTTTCAGACCTGACACATGTAGTTTAACTTGTCATGTGCAGTTTTACTAGAAAGTTGTGTTACAGACAGTGTTCCTATATAATCTTAATTTTGAAACATTCAAAGCTTCCTTTTACTTTATCAGGCTGGTATAACCACTAGCAGATGATGTGTTTTCTACAAAGTACCATGGTATTAACATGATCAGTTATTAAAAACAGACATAAAGAAAACTTACATTGTATTTTATGTAATCACTAGAAGTGGTGCACGAAATCTGTGGCTTGGGGAAGGGGTGGGGGGAAGCCTGTTACTCAGCCCGGCCTGCACCTTCTCCAATTGGGGGCCCCTCGGGGGATGTCTGACTGTCAGTTTAAGCCCGATCCCATAGGCAGCAGGACATCCATCTCACAATCCGGGACTGCTGGATCCTAACTGCTCGCCTGCCTGCCCGATCACCCCCTAACCGCTCTCCTGCCAGCCTGATTGATGCCTAACTGCTCCTCTGCTGGCCTGATCACACCCAACTGCCTTCCCCTGCAGGCCATCTTGTGACAACATGAGGGTGTTGTGTGAGGGTGCGAGGAGTACCTAGGATTTTATTAGTATAGATTGTATCAGTAATAACAAAGGTGATGAAACCATGCAAACAGCTGACATGTACAATGAGATGACCAGTAGGCACATGGTAGGTGCTTTTATAGGATTTTACATCATCACCATAATAGCTCTCTGAAGTGCACATGCAACCATAATTAAACAGATGTGGGAAATGAAATAGGGAATTCCGATAATTTGTCCTAGATCACATAGCTGGCATGGGTGTGGGACTACACTTCTACCCAGTATGGACTCTGGGGTACAGCATTTATTGGATAACAAATTATGGATTGATTTCCAGAAAAGAGTCAAATAAATAGATGCTTGCATGGGTAAGTAGTGGTAAGATTTCCTCTGAGATCTTTCATTAATCTACTTCCAAGTGTCCAGAGTTGTGCTAGGCCTTGGACACTGAAGGATAAGATGTGGTGCTTGATGGAACTCTGCTTTGCTGGAGAATGAAAACGTCAATCATTATAAAGCAGTGCCACACAGCGTGTGCAATGCTCTACCTCACTCCAGCATGGGAGAAACAAAGATGCTGAAGCACATCGGGGACCAGTGGAGAAGCACATCAGGAGTGGGTGCCAGCTCCAGGGTAGAGGGATCAGTAAAATCGTGAGGGAGAAGATGGGCTGGAAAGGGATGCTGGGATGAGTCCACCAAGTCAGAGTGAAGTGGGATTTCTAAATGAGCAATGAGGTCAACTCTTCTCTCTGCCTAATTTGGTGGCTTTGGCACTTGCCCTGGTAATGACCATGTGGGTATTCACCACTGTGTCTGCCTTCAAGGCATCTGCTGCCCGGCCCTCTGGGTGCTGGGCTGCGTGCTTCATGTCATCTCCCTAAAAACACGCACAACAAACACCTCCATTTCCCACTTTCCTTGAAAGCAACAAGTAGGCCAACCATACCTTTCACAGCCTCTTCCACAGGGAGCCCGACAAACGCTGCGAAGTCGTCAGCGATGATCGAGGTGTATGCCTGAGAGACCAGGGCGAAGGCCCGTCTCCTTGTTGCCTCTGTGTGGGAGCAGAGGGTGGGCAGAGTGACCAAAGAGCTGACGTTTTGAAAAGGCGTAATTAAATGACATTACTGTTCTTGTCCAAATGTGGTGAGACTAGATCAACCCAAAGACTTCCGTCTATTGTCTGAGTTTATAAAAGAGTGAACCAGGAAGACTGGAAGCAAGTGTTGGGGTGAGGGAATGTAAAGACAGGGGCAGGGATGAGTTTTATTATGTCTCATCAGGCTTTTCATCTTCACGCATCTATGTACTGGACTGATTAGTTCTAAAATCAAGAAGTTGGAAACCTCACCACGGAAGGCTGAAGCTGACTAAGTCCAAAGCACAGTCTCTGAAGTTATCAGAGTATTACCAAATTTCATTTTAGTAGCAAAAAAACAAAAACAAAAACAAAAAAACCTGATAAGAGCAATTTCAATCTAGGATTAAAAGACAGCGATGCCCCGAAGTGTCGATGTCATCACAAGCAACATGAAATGAAGCAGCATGATTATAACAAATCTAAGAGTTCTGAAAACTGCCCCATTAGCAAAAAAATATCTATTTTTAAAACATACCACTGCCTTAATTCAACACTGCAGCACTTGCAGGAACAAGTGTAGTCTAATTTGATTTTTAACCACAAAGCAACACTACCTCTAAGTGCTTCCATGATCGGCTGGACGGTCTCGGACCATTGGTGAGCGTTGATGGTCGTGTAGATTCCAGGGAAATCTCTCTGCCAGATTCTCTGTCCTACTGACCAAATTCCCCCAAGTTCAGAATTTGCCTGCAATAAATATTATTATTGTCTTTGAGGATATTCACTGTGCAGATTCATCAACAGCTGTATCTTAAAACAATTCACCATTTCTTTTAAGGGATGTAATTACCTTTTAGCTCAATACCATAAAAAGGGTTTTTAAATGCTATGAATAGTAAAGCCTATTTATGTCTGATCTATTTTTATTTTTTGTTATCCTCATTTGATATTTTTCTATTGATCTTTGAGAGAGTGGAAGGGAGGGAGTTAGGGGGAAAGAGGGGGAGGAAGGTGAGGGAGAGGGGGAAGAAAGAGTAACATCAATGTGAGACACATCAACTGGCTGTCTCCTGCACGTGGGATTGAACCTGCCCCTGAACAGGAATCGAACCCAGGACCCTTTGGTGCTTGAGCTGACACCCTAACCACTAAGCAATACCAACCAGGGCTGATATAAATTTTTATTTTAATAGCAAATTAAGGCATGAGAATGCAGTCCAAAGACCTAAATCTTAGAATTACCTTAAAATTGTTTTTAAAGATGTATTTGTATTTCAAATACATTAACACAGAATATATAACTGATATATACATAAATATATATATACAAAATATATTTTTCTTATTGACTTTAGAGAGGAAGGAAGAGAGAGAATCAGAATCATCAATGATGAGAGATAAGCTACCTCTTGATTGGCTACCTCTTGTACGCTCCCTACTGAGGATGGAGCCCACAATCCAGGCATGTGCCCTTAACCAGAATCAAACTTGGGACTCTTCAGTCCGAAGGCTGACACTCTATTCATGAGCCAATCCAGCTATATATATATATATATATATATATTAGGATATAAGTAATAGCAAAATGGCTAACAGCACAGACTTCCAATCTAAGATGCCATACACTATAGCCTTTCTAAGGCTAAAGCTGCCAGTAACATCATGCACATAATTGATGGCTGTTGTTTAGGCTGTTGTTAATTTAAGCCCATGAAGCTGGAAGAGCATTAACAGAATGAACTGGCAAGAAGGAGGAGTAAAAATACTAATTTGGACTGCTGCTGAATATTGATAATCAACAAAGGAGTTTGGATGGATTCTTGGTAATTTTCTGAAATTTTCATTTGACATTTATGACAGGCACAGTGAATCACTTGAAAGTAAAAATTTACTTCATTTCACTTTGGTTATTAAGAGGTTATATCATCTAATCTCCTACCCCAAATAAGAAATCTAAAGTTTTAATTAGCAAAAATAATCTTAATTCTGTGAGTAATCATCATTTTTAGACTATTCTTATAAACATTCCCAGGTTCAAAATAAGTACGTAATAGAAAGCTGCATAAATCAGTTAAAAAACAATAAACAGCTGAAACCAGTTTGGCTCAGTGGATAGAGTGTCGGCCTGCAGACTTAAAAGGTTTTAGGTTTGATTCTGATCAAGGGCATGTACCTTGGTTGCGGGCACATCCCTGGTAGGGGGTGTGCAAGAGGCAGCTGGTCGATGTTTCTCTCTCATCGACATTTCTAGCTCTCTATCCCTCTCTCCTCCTCTCTGTAAAAAATCAATAAAATATATTAAAAACAAAATAATAGACACTAGACCTTTATCTAAACTGGCTCAGTTGTTTACCTAGTTAAGTGACACACGAAATATCTCAAGAAATCTGATCAGCAGGAGACTACTATATTGTCAAATGAAATTAAAATTTCCAATTAGAAGAATTTGAAGATCTATTATTAAACTTTAATACTGCTTTAATAACAATTTCTGCGAAGTATATGGGAAGAAAAACAAACTTTTATGATGTGACCATTTAAATGAGTGTTGTTACTGTAATAAGAAGAAAAATAGAAACGATACTTACAGATTTTATAGCAGGTGGTATTCTTTTCCAAAGATATCTTGCATTATTCCTAATTTTCACCCCCAAGAAAAAATAAGCAATAAAAAAAAATCACCTCAATAAATGTTTAAATTGCTAGATCTCAATATAAACATTCAGAAGTATACTTTAAAATATTCTATAAAATACAAAGTGAAATTTAGTTTTACATGAATTTATCTAGGGAAAGTAACAGTAGTTTTCTAAGTTAAAAGACATAAATATATTTACCAAAGTAAAGTTTTGTCATTTGTAGTAAATTTTTTAATTAATAATCCAGATCTTAAATTAAGGCAACAGTACACTAAAAGTACAAAGATTTAAGTAGAACTGTCTAAATAATTTCTCTATAAAAATAAGCTAACATATATACTTTCAGGACTCTGACATTCCTTGACAACACATACAGTACACATGCTTTTCTCCTCGTCACCTCTCCTCCCACCAGTGGGCAAAGAATCACCAAAACTTTAAGGCAGTTTTTAAGAGTTTGGAAGCCTGAACTACAACAAATACAGGATGACAAGATTACAAAAAATGAAACAGATAATTTATATGATAAAAATCTGGATTTAGGTTTTAAAAAGATATGAAAAAAAGTTTAGAAGAATTTAAAACAAAATTTAACAGCAGTCATGAAAGGGTCATAGGACTATGAGTTCCTCATACCCCTTTGTAGTCATGCTTTCTGACTTTTCTTTAACAAATATGAATTAAGAATAATTAACAAGCAGAAAACTTCCAAGAAACCTCATACATGTTGGCAATAAATTCCTCTTAGTTTTCTCAACCTTCCCTTTCAATTTCTCTTGGTCTATTGATTACAAGTGAAGTTAAGTAAATGATGGTAATAAGAAAGTTTCATAAAAAGACAAAAGAGAAAAGATCAATAGGATTAAAGCAATTTGAAATGGGCATTGTAGTTTCTCATAACAAACTGGAGCCCTTTTTAGGTGTATATAAAACAAATGTAGTCTAAAATAACTCAGCCTCATCATAAATTTATAATTCAGTATTTGACACAGATGTATTAAGTATTAAGTATTATAATAAAAGCTACAGCTCCTTGTGCCCATGTTCTAGTGACGGTATCTTAATGTATGAATTCTTTATAACCTTGAAGAAATAGCTGCTTTTAGCTTTAGTAAAAAGTACTTACATGTCATTATGGAGTAGATATAAAGCTAGAAGCTGACCATACACAGGGGGTGTAGCAATTCCTCCAGGTGCCTAGAAGACCAAAATGAAAGAGAATAACCTAATTTACCGTTATATTAATACCCAGAGTATTATATTGAAATCTGTCATCAGCAGTGACTTATCTCTTCAGTGACTTTATTTGAATGGGATTATTTAAATAGGATCCTTTTCTCAGGTCTCAAATTCTTATATAAGTTATCTTAGTATTATAAGAAACAAGTATTTCCAACGATTCCTAAAGCATGATGATTCTGCCATTATATCAAATATGTTGAATATCTAAATAAATGAATAATAAACAGGAAAACATCACAGTTGATTTAGGCATTGCTAACCTCATTCAACTTTCATTCATTTCATTTGAAAAATCTATTGTGTCTATTAGTAAGCAGCTGCTTTAGGCTGTTGTCTACTTTGGCTAACTTCTTTATACATGCTTCTTTAAGGGCCTTTCTAAAACAAAACCTTAACTTTAATAGCTGCATGATGTAACTTTCACCTCTTACTGAAGACAAATCGATAAACTCGTCTGCTAACATTATGGGACCAACAAGGGCTTTCTAAACTAATAAAAGGTTCCAGTGGTTACATCTTTGGTCTGTTTAAGTGCGTGCACACGTCTTGAACAAAATCCACATTCCTCCACCTGCTCCCATAACCGGGGGGAGATATGCAGCACAGTGGAGGGTGTAAGGAGCAAAGATGAGCAAGATTTTCGGGCTCATTAGCTAAAGACAGACAACAAAAAGTTCCCAGCGAGTTCGGGCGACTGGGCCTGGATCCTTGGCCACGAAACAGGCCAAGGCGCCAGACTCCACAGGCCTAGCTCCCGCGCCCTGCAGGCGCCCGCCCCCTGCCCCGCCCCCGATCCGCAGGCCCCAGGCCCGGTTACCCTGGAGACCAGTGCCGCCCGGGACCCGGAGACCCCCCGCGGCTCCTCCCAGCGCTACGCGAATGGTTACCTCGAGCTCTTGGTTCTCGCACTGATCTAGCAACTTTTTGAAACTAAAAGCACCTTCTGCCATTACGGCCACGGGCATCTTCCCTGCCGGTCCCCCTACTGCACCTTCCCGAAGAGCAGATCGCAGGCTGTCCGGCGGGGAGTCGCAGAGGTGATGACGTAAAGGCCGCCGGCGCAGCGCGTGCCCCCTGCGCAGGCGCAACGTCGGTTCTGGCGCGTCGTAGGGCTGCCCGGCAATGGTCGCCGCCGCTCTGGCCGGCGCTCTCGGTGCTCTGGAGGACTGGCCCGGCCTGGGGGGGAAGTTATTCTGTGTGTGCGCGAACAAAAGCCCTGGAAGGGAGGGCTTTGGGCCATGTTTGGGGCTATGCGATGTCTCTCTCCTTTTTGAGGCTTAACACACACGCAGACGTAAAGGTTCAAAACGGAGCTTTGGTTGTGCCCCCATGCCTGCTCCCCACCTCTGGAGAGGGCACCCTGTCCTTCCCGTGGGGGACCCCACTTCAGAGGGCAGCCGCCCGGGACCACCGACTTGGATGCAGCGCTCTGCAGACCTGCCCACCTGCCTCCCTCCAGGCATTTCCCCACACTGCCAAGCGGCCACAACGTTTTCTGAAACATCTGTTTTTGTTTTGGCACCTGTCCTACTAGCACTTCCCACCTTAGGCGCTCAGATGAGTATGGAAGGACTGAAATGAACCTCCCCTTTCCTGCTAAATTAATGTTATAATTTCAGCACAATCCTAGGAATACATCAGCACACTACACAGAATAATAAAAAGTAATAATAAAAACATGTTTGCAAAAGTCCTGAAAGGGCCTGGAGCTCAGGGCAGATAAATGTGAGGGGGTGTTTGAAGACAAAAAAAAAAAAAAAAAAAAAAAAAAAAAAAAATGCTGTAGAAAATGATGGCTGTGAAAGATGCCAAGGGTTTTCGGATAAAGCAGGGAAGAGTGAGGGCAGGGGGTGAGGTGAGACCCTCAGCTCCTCTATGGTTTCCCTCTGCACCTGTAAAACCAAGGTAACATCCAGGTTGCTCTGCAAGGCTGCTCTGAGGATTGAGTGAGATTACTATTAGTTTTAGTTCAGAGTCTGGGCTAATTCAGGGAGATTACTGTTAATGCTATGAAAGTAGGCAGACAAAGGCTAATTTGGGAACTTCCTTATTTATACAGAGTTTTATGACACATATTTTAAAATATTTGATAAATCAAACATTAAGTTTTCTGGAGGTAAAATGGTTCTAAAGAAGTAACTTCTAGATTTCTTCTCTTCAAAATAGAGGGCGGAAGGCAGATGGGGCAAAAGGAGTCTGGGGACGTCCTGGGTGCAACCTCGGACCTCGCCACCAGGGGGTGCAGTCGCACTGTGGAGGATCTTAACTTCCCTCCTGTGGAAGGATCTTGCACAGGCCTTGGTGGAGCAGTAAGATACAGGCTTCTTTAGTCTGGGTTTTTAGCTCAGGGCAGTTAATTCCTCCTCAAAATTACTTTTTCAAAGGGAAACCTGGAGCGCTGTGCTTTTGAGGAGCCCCTTTCTATTTTTGTTAAAAACAAATGATCCACAAGTATATGTCTGCCAGAAAAATTCACTCAGTAATATAGACTATGAGAGAGTATTGATATCGTCTGCTTTGGCCTGAATATGAAATATGGGGGAGTCGGTTTCTGGATGTCACACAATCTGGCTGGTAAGATCACGTCCCCGAAAGATGATTCTAACATTAGACAAATAAATCTCATACTTCATAATGTGTTTTACATAGGATCCATTCTATGTCTGATTTTTAATATTTTACTTTTTTTGTAAAACACAAGAGGTAACATGTCAATGAGGAAGAGTTAGAAGAATCTGTAGAAAATGGTAAAATGTGTCTAATATACCATGTTAGTAAGGTTTCCTATTAATATCCTGGTTCATTGTATATAATCTAGCTTCACTGAGAGCTGCATAAATCCTTTTGGGGAACAAGCTGTATAAATAAGCCAATGTTGTTAAAATATCCACCTTATTTTTCCAGTTAATCAACAACATGTGCTGTGTATGGGAAATATTCTATGATATAGGTGACATCTCAAGTGCTGGAAAATGATTGGCTTTCTAATAAATGATGCTGAAGCAAATAACCACATCCAACCTTTACACAACAGTAAATGCCAAATGAATTAGAAATATAAATGCAAAAAATGAAGTCATACAGTTCTAGAAAACAACACCAGTGAAGTCCTCCGTGAGGGAAGCTTTCTCTTTATGACTCAAAATCCACATTGTAAAAGAAAAGAAGAATAAAAGGCATAAAATGAGCAAACATATAAATATTGAAAAGATTCCTGTGCATGCAATATTGAAAAATACAACTTGGAGGATAATATTTTAATATAGACCAGAATCGCAGGGTCCATTTCAGAAACATACAAAGAGTTTTAAAAGACCGGAGAAAGCCAGGTGCAGATGGCCACGTTGGTGATAGTCTACTTCCTCAGCAGCTCCAAATCCCCCTCAGAGAGTGGCCAGAGCCATTGGACAGAGAAATGGAAAGCCTCAGAGACTTTACAATGAAATTGGTCACAAGGTGTTTAAGAGAACGTCAAAATACAAGCAGACGGAGCCCACCATGGAAGCACAAAGACTCATGTGTTGTCTGCAAGAAAAAGCAGAGGAAGTAGCAGTGCATTGGAATGACCCAAGCAGAGGAAAACCCCCAAATAGCCCTGGTTTTCACTATAAGTAGAGAAGGATGATTTGGGCTGATGAAGCTTCGGTCTCCAATGTCCCAGGTGAAGCTGGGGTTGGGGGTGGGGATCTGGGGCTGGAGCTGCTCAGAACCTGTTGACTCTCAAGATAGACCCACTGGGGCTTTCTTCTAGGGTGGGTCGCCGAGCCCAGGAGAAAATGCTGGGAATAGAGTAAATATTTCTCGGAGAGGAGACAGTTGAGGAATAGGAGAGAGGGTCCAGATGCAACCGAAGGAGGACACAGAGCCAGAAACTTTCAGAATCCAAGCTGCTGTATGTTTAAAACACTCCCCACAAGTAACAGCGAGAGGGCTCTGAGGATTTGAAAAGCTGGTGTGAGCCACGATTCCTTCTAAACGGTCATGAAAACCACGTCACAGAAAAATGAGCAACGGAAAAGGCTTGAGGGGAAGTCCTGGGTGAGTTTCAGATAAAAAAAAAAAACTGAGGGAAAAAATACCAAAGCCCTTTAGGAAAATGGGGAAGATATGAACAGACTGCCCACAAAATGTACACATCAACACATAAGAAAAAATGTTCAACTTTATCCCTGATGAGAAACAGAGGCCGAGACACCATTTTCATGTATCAGGTTGGCGAAAAAGCAAAAGCTTGACACCAAACCACGTTGCCGGGCATGGAGAACAGGTGCCCCTGTGCACTGCTGGGGGTGGAGGAGCAACAAAGTCCCACTCTACGGAGGGGAACATGACCCAGTACATCCAAACTACAGATACACTCACAGCACTGGGCTGAATAGCATCCCCCCAAATTCATGTGCAGCTGGGACCTGCAAATGTGACCTCATTTGGAAATGGGGTCTTTGCAGAATGTAATTAAGATGAGGTTGTATTAGACTAGGGTGGGCTCCAATCCAATGACTGGTATCCTTCTAAGAATAGACCCAGACATGCAGGGAGAAGGTGACAGCCGAGGCAGAGATTGGAACGCTGTGTCTATGAGCCAAGGGTTGCCAGCAACACCAGGAAAAGGTGACAAAGGATGCTCCCTTAGTGCTTTCCTGGAGAGCATGGTCCTCCCTGCACCTTGACTTCGGAGTTCTAGCCTCCAGAACTGTGAGAGAATCTACTCTGGGGTTTAGAACCTTAGAGTTTGTAGGACTTTGTTGTGATAATCCTGGGCAATGAACACGTGCCCTTCAGTCAAACAATGTCACCTCTAGGAATTCATCCTGAAGACACCTCAAAGGGTACAAAAAAGAATCCACGCAACTCATTCATTAGGGCATCGATGGAAGATTGGTTGACTAAACCGTGGCACTTACTCTCAGTGGAATGCTCTCTAGAGCTACACAGCTCTGCGAAGGGATGAAGAATGTCTATCTGAGCTGGGAGACTGACTCCAAAGTTGGTGCCACCAACCCATCACTCCCCCTACACACACGCAGGGAGCTACATGGAACTCGGCTGGTACAGGTCTTGCTTTGCCAATAGAACACAGGAGTGAATGGAGCCAGCTCTTTCTGAGGACTGGCAACTTCTACCCGCTCTCTCTTGGAGATCACACAAAAGAGTGGGAGCCAACAGGAAATATGGCCAGTGCATCCAGCAATGTCTGAGGGGGTCATGATCCAGGACACCGAAATCATGGTCTCTTTGGCAGGTCTAGTTCCCGGGGAAGGCAAGAAGACCCAACTCTCTTCTTGGGGTGGGAGGCATGGGGAGGGGCTTTTAAAATCATTCAAGTCCTTTCCCACCCAAAGTGGCTTTCAGATTGAAGGCTGGTTCCCAGGAAGCCAATGCTGGCAGAGAAGGCACCATGTGCCAGTGACTGGAGCTGTGGATGGACTGTGGTTTCCATCTCCTTCATCAAGGGGACAAGCTGGCGAAGCCTCCTGATTTTCAGGGTGACCGATGATACAGCTCAGGCCAAAGCAGATGGTTTTCAATAGCATTCAATATAGATTTAATTATGGAGTTGGGGAAAAATAAAATTATTTCCACAAAGTGGGTAGGCTGAAGTGGCAATATGTGTGCCGGACATTATATGATGATAGGACTTTGATTTTGCTATTTTGTTAAATAGATATCTGATTGAAGAATTTAAATGTAAGTGCCCTGCCCTGGAGTCCCAACCATCCAGGGGGTGTCAGTAGCTGACTGTAAGAAGGGATTTGGTTGGCCTTTATCCTTCATTCCTGGGAGGTAAGTAAAGGTTTGGAATTTCCTGAGTGATGGGAGTGTCTTTACTTTCCTGGTGGGCCCCTTGGACCACACCTGAAAGTCTGTGCCAACGAGCTGACTCATGGGAACCATCATACTCTGTGCTAATGAGATGGCTCAGGATGCAGGCTGGCCGGGCCAGGAAGACCAGCGATGTGATTAG